CAAATGGTGAATCACTAAATTCTACCTCTGAAACTAATAATACAGTGTATGTTAACTAAATTGAATTTAAATAAAGAATTAAAAAATAGAACTTATTTTTTTAACATTTCTTTATTTATTTTAGACAGAGAGAGAGAGAGAGAGAGAGAGAATAAGAGTGCATGAGCAGGAGGGGCAGAAGGAGAGGGAGAGAGAATCTCAAGCAGACTCCACGCTGGGTGTGGAGCCCACCGCAGGGCTCAATCTCACAATCCTGAGATCATGTGAGCCAAAACCAAGAGTCAGAAGCTCAATTGATTATGCCACCCAGGTGCCCCAAAGAGAACATATTTTATATATTGTGCATAAAATACAGTGTATTATAATCTGTATATTATGTTATAAAAATTAATTTTACCAACTTTTTTTAACATGGCTTTAAAATTATATGTATACTGATATTTTGTTTCTATTGGACAGAATTGATCCATAGGATCCATAGGATAAGCTTCCCCTTCTCTAGCTTCCCTCTTTATAACCCCTTCACTGGTCAATGAATCAGCCTGTGGTCTTGTCTGTGACCCAGTTTGGTATATACTTTATAACCCAGTCTGTGATACTATTACATACATGCAGATTTCTAAACACCCTAATCTCTTTGACAGGAGTCCTTTTTTTTTAAAGATTTTATTTATTTATTTGAGAGAGAGCACAAGCAGGGGAGGGGCAGAGGGAGAAGAAGACTCCCAGCTGATCAGGGAGCCTGATGTGGGACTTGATCCCAGGACCCTCGGGGATCATGACCTGAGTCAAAGGCAGATGCTTAACCAACTGAGCTAACCAGGCACCTTGACAGAAGTCCTTTTAATCTCTGATTTCCTTGGTGAAATCCTAGTATTATCTCAAAATTTATTTCAATGGTTTTCTCCATGAGATCTACTCTGACCTATCTAGGCAGCCTTGGACACTTCTTCACTGATGATGTTCCCACATCTATATGCGTGTTAATGATCTCCCTTATTGTACTCTATCATAATCACTGGTATACACTTATCTCCTACAACAGACTTAGGTTCTCCCACAAACTGTAAACATACTTCATAAGTGTTTATCAAATAAAAGAACATAAATGGAATTTGGAATCAGATTTGCTTTGAATTATGTCCCCACCACTGATTAAATACATGAATTTGGAAAATTTATTTAAATTCTAATATGCAGATGGTGTGAGGTTGTGTTGAATCTGTGCTTATTCTACTGCACACCACTTGATACTCATTTGCAAAATTTATCCTTTATATTAGCTTCCTTGCCATTTAAGTGGTTGTCAATAAGAGATGTCTCCAGGCTTGATAAATAAAGATGTTTTCAGGTTTTGGCTTAAGGTTAATGAGAGATTTCTGTAAGAGTTACATTAAAAAGTTACTGAAATTATACAAATTAATAATGCAGGTGCCATGATTTAGAATGGAAACTTCTTACATATTTTTAATCATGCATTTTTTTCTAAACTTATTAAATTCATTATAGTTAAATGGACACGAAATGCTTATACTAAAGAAAGGCCAAGTGAAAGACAGCATAATCTTTTCAAATTATACTCAGGGAGATGGAAAGAAATGAAAAGAAGGCATGGCGGGGCTCATTTCAAATATTGATCACTTTCCCAGAATTTCTTCTAAACACTGGAGGTTTCAAATATCAAAGACTGTTTTTGATGGCAGAGAGAGAGAAGTGCATCTGGGAGCTTCTAAGATGGTGGAGGGAAAGTCTCAAGTGCTCATAGATGACCACTAATGAACCGACATCATAGCAGCTAATAATGAAACCATGTTAAAGGCATGTATTAGAGAACCCATAATTCTATTATTCTTTTAAAATGAAATATGACAGAATTAAAATAAGCACTGAAAAATAAACAATACCATAATCATATATACCACAACTCAAAGCACTCACCCACTTCTAAAAACATATATTTTGGGTAAAGCCAGGCCTCAAAATGGATAAAGCCTAAGTGTTGTAAAACCTCTGTTCCATTGCATTCAAAATGTATTTAAAATTATTTACTCCCTCTTCCATTACTATAATTTCTGCATCTAGGCTTTCTGTTGTAAAATAAGCCATGTGTTTGACATAAGATTGTTTTCAAATTCTTTAATTAAAATGATGAATAAAACAATCATATTTTGATAAGTTTTAGGCTAATTCATTTTGAAGGTTTAAATCATGTTTTTAAAAATATAGTGTTTTGCTCTTTATGCTAATTTGTAACTTCCTGCTTCAACAAAAAATGACTTTAGAGAGACAACACAACATGTTTCTCTGACATCAAAAAGTGCTTGCAAAACGTTGTGCTGAATTAGTTGAAAATGAATCAGAAACATAAGGATTGCATTTCTACTGAACTTCACAGGAACTTGAATGTGAGAAACCAGAATGCTTTGGGCAGAATGATTTTGAGATTTTACTTAACCCATTCTTGTGAAAGAGGCACCTCCTTCTGCATGAAGGTTTGCCTGCTTCAATTTAATCAACAATTTATTTTGCTCTCCTTTGTTCTTCTTCCCAGTTGATAGTCTAACTAGGCACAAGTTGAGAAGACTGCAAACAATTTACAGATGATAAGTGGAACATGACTGACCCCCTTCATGATTTCTTGGGTTAACCATGATTCAGAAGCAGCAAGAGATTCTGGTTTAATGATTAATAAAACTGATTTGGAATGAATATTTTAAAATACAGACTTTATTCTCTCTTACGTACATGAATGTAATAGCCTATCAATCTCCTGTCAACCACTTATTTAGTTTTGGCTGTCAATGCATTTTTCTCTTTTTTTGAATTTTACTTCGTAGAATATTTCACAAGAATTTTTAGAATAAAGTGATAAAGATACATATTTTATTGATAAAAATCAATCCACTACTAACATTTGTTACTCATACATTCCATTTCATAATGCCTTTCTTGGGGAGTGGATGGTAATCATTACAGGGAGAAAACAGCATCAAATATCAACACTATGATTTCACCCAGAATTTTTTCAGTCCTTATGCATTTCTGCCTTCTCTAAAGTTGCTCAATTCTTTCACTATCTCTGGGAGGTTTTTTGTATTTACCTGGGTAGTCTATCACTCATGGGTTAAAAATTAAATCCAAAAGTATAATAAATCTTACTGCAACTCAGATAACTCAAATTACTTATGAGACCAAATTAACCCAGATATAATTTTGGTTTAAAGTTCTATCTGATGCCTACAAAGGCTTTACTGTTAATAGTGTGGAATGGAGATCAGAGTCTTTTCTTTTTAATGTTATTAAAGGTCCAACTCAGTGCTACCAAGGAACTAGACTCTAAATTTAATTTTAATTAAATGTTAATTGTAATATTCACATGTAGTCAGTGACTGTCATCTCGTCTGATAAAACTTTCAAGCTCCATATACAAAATTATACATGATAGCATGATAACACTACAGAAATTTCAGATAAAATTTATTGTGACATCAAGTTATTAATTTCAACTGATTTGGTATGTTTTTCATTTAGTAGCTCTCTACTGAAGTTGTTTATATATATATATATTTTTTTTTGTGTGTGTGGGGTTGGCGCCTGTCACCTTTGTCTTTCTCTGTCTGTGTTTATATTTTTGATAATCCTGATCCTCAGCGTTGCCTGCCATGCTTCTAAGAACACATGTGCATAAACTAAGATTTTATACATTTCAAACATATATTCTGTGAGGGAATATGGTCTCAACTTCCTTTTCCAGTGAGATTCTGCAGCTTATATGAATTATATATTTATGTAGGTAGTAATATGGCAAAGCTCCTTGACATCTTCACTCATTGGTTTTTTAGTCGATTTGTTTTCTTTCGAAAGTCAGCTTCCACATATTGAAGGGTTTGTAAAGGTGTGGCAAATCATGTGTTAGTCTTAACTTCTTCACTAATGACATTCTCAGGCCCTGATTTCAATTTTAGGTCCTAATGTGCATGGAGGGCTTACTTCTATCTTATCAAAATTTGTACTTTATCTCAGTAATTGCTGTAATTGCTGATATATATTCAAGACCTCTTGTGGGCAAGAATGGTAATAAATACTTTACATGGATTATCTCACTTAACTCTCACCACTGCTCTTGAAAGTGTCATTATCCTGACAGCTATCCCTTGACTAGGAGTCAGCACGAGGTTACATGTACCCAAGTTCATATAGCTAGGAAATGACACGGCTAGGATTGAAATCCAGTCTGTCTGACTTTAAAGCTCACAGATTTAAATATATTTTTTCCATGAAACTCTCAGCTATAATAGGAAAATTTTATCTTTTATATCCATGAAATAAAAGACTTGCTAAGTAACATATTCCCTTTCTCTAGAATAATAAGAAAACCTTCAACCAGTCAGAAAATTTGACTTAAAACTTTGTTCATGTTTCTTTTAAGCCAATTATGATCTAGTCATTGAAAATTTAAGAGAGTTTTTTTTTTTCCTCCTGAGGGAGGATGAATATATATTCAACATTATAAATTAGAAAATTGGAAAATCTCAGTTACATAGTCCCATGGCTTAAGATATATTAAAAAATAAGTGTCCCATGGGGCGCCTGGGTGGCTCAGTCAGTTGAGTGTCTGTCTTTGGCTCAGATCATCATCCCAGGGTCCTGGGATCAAGCCCCACGTCAGGCTTCCTGATCCGCGGGGAGTCTGCTTCTCCCTCTGTACCCCCACCCCGCTTGTGTGCTCTCTCTCTCTCTTAAATAAATAAATCTTAAAAAAAATTAGTGTCCCATTAGACTTTTATTATAAGGAACATTTCTGCTATTTAAGTTGTGTGAAATATTTCTGATTATGATTCATCATGAAATAAATAAATGTTCCTTGCTCACATGTAATGGTTGTTTCAGTATATCACAGGTATTCTTTATTTTTAAATTTTTTATTGTTATGTTAATCACCATATATTACATCATTAGTTTTTGATGTAGTGTTCCATGATTCATTGTTTGTGCATAACACCCAGTGCTCCACGCAGAACGTGCCCTCTTTAATACCCATCACCAGGCTAACCCATCCCCCTACCCTCCTCCCCTCTAGAACCCTCAGTTTGTTTTTCAGAGTCCATCGTCTCCCATGGTTCGTCTCCCCGTCCGACTTACTCCCCTTCATTCTTCCCCTCCTGCTATCTTCTTCTTTTTCTTTTTCCTTAACATATGTTGCATTATTTGTTTCAGAGGTACAGATCTGTGATTCAAAAGTCTTGCACAATTCACAGTGCTCACCATAGCACATAGCCTACCCAACGTCTATCACCCAGCCACGCCATCCCTCCCAGCATCCCCCACTCCAGCAACACTCAGTTTGTTTCCTGAGATTAAGAATTCCTCATATCAGTGAG